ATTTGCATTAAAAGTCTGATGTAACTTGCTCATTTTTAAATACATGATTTACACAGATGCAAAAAATATGCATTTTGTACACCCTCTAGAAAGTTCGCATTTGAGACCAGAAACCTTATTTTATGTCTTTCACACCAAGCCACCGAAATGTGGACTCATGATACAAGATACACCCGTCTCCAAACCACCAGCCTCCACAGGGGCTCAGCTGAGACTCTCCTTCCTGCACAAGCACACACCATCGCTGGGCTGCATGGTGTGAACCCTCACTCCACACACTGGCATGGAAGGAGCCTAGCGGAGTCAGGTTGGAGACTCACACCTGCTCAGACCAGGAGCCAGGAGGGGTCCCAGGTGGTCCCCAGCAGGGCTCCTGTGCAGCTGCACCTGCGCCTTACTCCACACACCAACCTCACGGCTCCAGGGGACACTGGGGAGGCACAGTGCTGCACAGGGTCCGACCTGGGCCCAGGGAAGCCGTCACTGGCACAGTGGCCTCAGTGACAGCTAGCGGCTCCCCCTTAGGAAAAGGGGCACCGTCCTTCTTCAGTGGGGTTGCAGGGAGATCATCAAGTGAGATCCCAGATGAGGTATATTCTAAAGGTGGTACCTAAATATTTAAAATGCACTACAGTGAAAGATATGGCCACAAATCCCCTCAGAATCCCTCCAACCCTCACTTTGACACACTCGTCCCATCGTCCTTGCCATCTCCTGCAGCAGCTCTGACGTCCTCTTTCCTGAGGGTCTCTAGCTGCGTTGTCCTGGCTGCCTCCATGTCCTGAACAGATTCAAAGTGTCTCCCATTCCTGGTTATCTTGGCTTTGGGAGGAGCCAGCAGTCACACGGTGCCAGATCCAGTGACTGAGCTGGACGATTTCACAGCCCAGGTTCTCACAAGTGGCTTTGCGCATGAATGGCGCTTGGCAGCAGTATTCGCCGTGTGTTTGATCGGGTCTCCTAAAGACTCGCAGGAGAGAGGACTCCGGAGCTGCTGCAGAGTGACAAGAGTGCTGGGGTGCATGTGCTCCAAGTGGAGGGGAAACAGCGCGTCTCTTACAGCAGTAGTGCCTGCGTTTCAGCAGTTTCTGTCTATAAACACACAATCACTACAAACACAGCACTGGCACAACGCCCATGGCTTCTCCAGCCTCATGCTCACACCACCTTGGGACCTCAGGAGCTGAAGGCAGTGGCACGGCAGATCCCCGAGAGCTGCTGTTCAGGGACTCGAGGCCACGGAAGCCACAGATCAGTGCTCAGCTGCTGTGAACTCACAACCGGGACACGACAGCTGCCCAAGCGGGGCTCCCTGTGCCCCGGCGGAGACACACAATTCCACACTGCGTCCTGCATGTCGTGTTATCCCCAGGCTGGGCAGCACTTCTGCTCACTCCAATTTATACAAAAAGGCCTGAACAAGGAGAAACTCTGATTCCTGTGTAGGCAGCGGATGGGTCCTGGACCACACCGGTAACATAAATCAGACACGCAGGCTTACCTATCACAGTTTCTCTAATACAAGAAAGCCAAAGCATAAATAAAGAGCAAAAGAAAGGACAGCAGACAGGGAACAGGAAAGCGACTTTCTGAAGATGCAAAGGAGACCCCCCAAAAGAGGAAGGAGAAACAGGATCAACAATAATCCAGGCTTCATGTATGTATCGGTCAGCTGTGGTGGTGCGCACTTGTGATTCCAGCCCTCAGGAGGCTGAGGCAGGAGGATTGTCAGGAGTTTGAGGCCAGTCTAGGCTACAGAGTGAAATTTTGTCTAAAAAGAAAAAATAGAGGAAGAAAAAAGATAACATATGTATGTACTCATTCCTCATAAGGAATGAAATTATTAAGCATCACAATTTATACTAAGAAAACCAGGGGCTGGTGATACAGCTTAGCTGCACAGAGCATGCCTGGCAAGCACAAGGTTTGAAGTTCAATTCCCATAACAAGAGAAAAGAGGAGGGGAGGAGAGGAGAGGGGAGGGGAAGGGAGGGGAGGGGAGGGGAGGGGAGAGAAAAGAAGACCAGGCCACTGTCACGGAGGTGCTCCGTGGGGAGAACCTGCCCAGCCAGCACACATCACATCCTGGCTCTGACACCCAGGAAAATGAAACCCCAAACACCCCAACAAAGAGAAAGCAAAAGCACCCTGTCACCACACCCCTGGGGCTGGCATTTCGACTCCCTGCCGCAGGTTAGAAGCGCAGGTTAGAAGCCACGCTGGAAGGCAGTGCTCTGACTGCTGCACCCCGCTCCCGGCAGGAGGCCGGGCTCCCCTGGCTGTCGGGAAAGGCGCCTCCCCTCCCCACCTTCTGCTCCCAGTAGATGGCAGTGGCCTCCAAAGCCACTGGCGCTTGGGCAGACGGGTCCTCCCCAGGACGCTGCTCTGGGCCCTCGGACCCAGTGGGAGAGTTCAGGCTCCTGGCTGGGCTGTGCCACACACCAGGGCAAGACCAGGATGCCCGGTCCTGCAAGGACTCCGGGAAGAGGAGTCAGGCAGGGCAGGCAGAGTGGTCAGCCTCATCGCACACCAGGCAGAGGACACAGAGCTTGTCCAGGGCCACTGGCGGCCAGCACAGAGGGGATGCGGCCATGCCAGCTCTTAGGACCAGGGACAGGGACAGAGGCTATGAGGAAGACGCAGAATATGTCTCCCACCCAGCCAGGTCCAGCCAGAGGACACACACAGGGGCCCCAAGGCACCCATGAAAGAGAAAGAACGTGGCAGACAGTATAAAAGACAGCTGGGTCAGGAGTGGCAAGTTCTGGGTCTCAAAACAGACCCCTTCACAAAGACTCGGAATGGTTTGGGGGTGCAGCTCCCAGCTGCTCTTTTCAGGTGAGACTGGGAACTGAACTCAGGGCCTTGGCACCTGAGCTACACCCGCCCTCAGCCCTCTTTTGAGACAGGTTGGGCTTGAACTTGCTTGAGACCCTCCTGCTTCAGCCTCCCTAAGTGTGGGATTACAGGCATGCCCCCCCCCCCACTCGGCTCACACCCTCAGTCAGTTATTCTCTCCCAAGGGAGTGTCACTTGGCCTAACTCCATCATCAAGATCTACCACACACACAGTTGAAAGATGTCTCTGGCACAAAATCATTTCTCACACTATAGTTTTCCCTTTCATACCGCTACCATGCACAGAAGCAGCCAGATCTCCCCCTTACCTTCCTCACCTTGAACCTTGCTGTCAGTCCAAGGGTCTCCTCTGCCCCAGGGCCTTTGCACAACCTTGCCTCTCCTTTGCTGAAGGTTTCCTGGCTCCCAAGCTACCTTCCCCCCTCCCGTTCCACATATCTTCTATGACATGTGTCACCACCCACGAGAAGACATCTTGTCTCAGTCACACTTCCAAATCAACCACTAGGTCTTGGAGGTCGGCCACTTACTGAGGACCTGGTACTTCTTGTTTTTCTTTTTTAAATGGAAAACAAACACCCTCAAGCCCTCAGTCCCCAGACGCCTTTGTTTCTGGGAGCTGTCTAAGCTTTCGAAGGAAATTCCTGTCTTAAACACCTGTCATAATACACTCCCAGCGGGGCTAACTCCTTAGCATCCATGCTTACAGTGGTTCCGTGTGGTCTGCATATCCAGCATTTCACCACTGCTTGTTATTAAAGTTTTAATTTTGTTGTTGTTGGCTTATTTGAGCAGTGAGATTCAAGGAGTTTTCTGACTGTGAAGTAAAGTCGTGCTCCTGGGCTTCACGTCCTCTAAGGAGAGCAGTTCTGCAGTCCAGCACGGACGCATCCCGAGAAGCACTCATATCTGCCCAGTCATGTCTGCCATGCGTCCACCTCAGCACACCTTAGATCAGTGTGTTTCTTTGCAGGAAGTCCATTTTTAAATGCCCACTCTATATGAGTGTGAAGCAGGAGCAGCGCATGCCAGTACCCTGCTTTCTCAGGTGTGTGTCCCTGGCATGTGTCCGGAAATGGCCCAGGGAGTTCCTGGAGGCTTGAAGCAGCCCAGGGTCCTGGTGCAGCCCGCTGTGGCCTCTTCCAAGCCAGCAGAGCGCACGTGCACCCCTGACCTGGGGGCGACCTGCTGCTGACTGCTCCAAGCCTCGCGGGCTCCTGCATGGTTCCTAAACCTAGTAAAGACCCTGGGGCTCTTCCAGACCCCTCTCCCTGCCACACAGTGCCTGCCACCTGCCGCCCACAAGGCACCCCAGGTCCTGAGCACAGAGCCGAAACCCAGGATGGGACCCGGGGACCGTGCCCCATCCCAGGACCACAGATCACCAACACCAGTGCCGTGTCTGGGGGCTTTGGTGGACAGATGAGGCGGGTGAGTACAAGACTCCAGGACTCTGCAGAGGGCACAGGTGACACAGGAACCAGACTGAGCCCAGGACAAGGTTCAGGGTTTATAGAAGTCTTTCATAGCACTACTGGCCTTTGCTTTTATTATTTACTTATTGATTTTTGACACAGGGTCTCACTATATAGTCCAGGCTGTTCCTGAACTCACTATGCAGCCCAGGCTGGCCTTGGTGGTCCTCCTGCTTCAGCCTCCTGAGGACGGGGATTACAGGTGTGCACCACCATGCCTGCCTACATTCTTTAAACTGCGGAAATCTCATAGAATTTTATGTATTTGCCTGAGTATTCTGTTGAAAAAGGTGCTATGGTCACATTGTTAGAAAGCCAGCAGCTTCTGCCAAATCCAATTTGCATGAAGACAATTCCTCTCCCTGTAAAAATCCAGTTGTGATTTATTTTCCTCGGACTAAGAAAACACAGAAAGGACATTAAGAACAACTGTGCACAGGGCAGCCTCAGGTCTCCGGGGACAAACCCTAACCCAACTCACCAGTCACCTCTTGGGCTTTGGGCAGCTCAATAGACAGGCGCAGCTCACTTCTTAGGAAGCCGGAGCTCTTCCGCCTGCGGCACACCAGCCTGCAGCCCATCCCCAGGAGCCAGGACAGCAGCAGCCGGGCCTCTCTCTATCCCCTCTGGCCTGGTGGCTGGGCGCGGCCACCCTCTTGGTCTTACCTCACCCTCTCGTCAGGCAGGCACCTTTCCACCTGTGCAGGCAGTGGTTACCAAAGCATCCCCTACCAGCCGTCCTTCGAAATGCTGTCTCCCGGGCTTCCCTCAGGTTTACCAACAGCTCCCGCCTTCCCTCTCTGACCTTGAACCTGACACCCAGTCACTCTCAGCTGTTCACACAACCTTAAAATAAGCAAGTGACACAATGTTGGTCCTCACGCTCAAGATGCCCTTGCGCTTCTTCTCCCCCTAGGCCACCGGGATGGAGCCGAGACAGTTAGAGGAGGGAGCCTAGTAAATAAAACACACAGGGAGAGGACCTGAGGCCCTGTGGACCTATCCCGAGGACTAGTTCGCTCCCAGTCAGTAACGGAAGAACAGGAGAGGAAGTGAAGGAACGGTCACCAAAGTGTCCTCTGGGGCCATCGGGCCAGGTGGACGTGCTAACCAGCATCTCACAGGGTCTGGGTGCAGTCCCTGTGGAGCCCAGGCTGAACCCGAGTCAGCAGATGAGGTCACACCCTTTCCCTGGTGGACACCTGCCCCTCCCCGGGGAAGCTCTCTGTACCCCAGAATGGGGGCCAAGTTCGCTCTGCCTATGCCACAGGGGTGTCCAGGGACACAGTGGGGGACAGCTTAACAATGAAGCAGAGGAAAATCCCCACACCACATCCAGCCTCAGCCTGCTTTCAAATCATCACTGCCCAACTTGTGTTCAACTTTGGTGGCAGAAGATTAGCAAAAACACTAATCATAGGCATAAATCCTAAAGGCTGTGCATTAATGCTGTGCAAAATGCATGTATCACCCTTAACCTAAGCGTACAGGTTTTCAGGTAACAATTAAAATCAAGTCATGTCATGAGCTGTATCATAATATCTATTTTTATACTTTCAAAGAGTCCCTAACTTAATCCTATACCGTAAGAATTCACTCAAGAAACTGTACCAATTCCATGACAAGAGTACAGTAACATAGAGACAGCGAGAGGCTGTAATTAGCTAAGTGCCTGCAGAAAGCTTAAACACTATTAGAAACCAGCATTAGCATCTGAGTTTTAATTATGAAGGAAGGAGGCCACGCCTCTTCGGCTGCCATTGGATAAAACACTACAGATCCTTGTGTGCTCGCGCTTCTGGAAAACCTGACTCTGGAATAAATAGGAGGAGACCCAGCATTCACACAGCACCATGGCAGTAACCACTGATCCTTCAGAGCATGCTGTGGGGTGAAGTATTTGACAGACTCTCCCAACTTTCAGTACAAGCACAAGAGAACGCACAGCCGAGTTCAGTGACCCTCTCCCTGAGCCTCTGACCGTGTCTCTGGACCCCCCACTCTGCAAACACACAGCTTTTAAGTCTGCACCCCACTGTACCTCGGACATCGTACTAAAGCGCAGACGTCTCTCTCTCCACACTGGTGCTTGGGGGGTGCCTTCCCCACCTGCCTCCAGCCTCTCACTCTCTCTGTCGAATCTTTCCATGCCTGGCTCACGTAAGTCTGGCCATCTCCAGAGACATCAAGAGCTGGCTTCCCACATCCTGAACAATGACCTCACCACCAGTTCTCCTTGCACTCTGTACACAAGCATCCACCTAAGGTTACAAGTCCTCACCACGGTCTGCAAAGAACACAGCAAAGCCAACTAAAATTCACACGGTGGTTCCTTTAAATCTGGATGGCACTGCACCGGTGACCTGATAATTAACACTACTTCTTGTCCTGCTCTTAAAAGTGTCCCCCACGATGGGGAGAGATGCCCTGCCTCCCTGCCCTCCCTGAGGTCCCCATCACCGGCCTCCCAGAAAGGGGCCCCACTCCCTCTCTGGTGCCCCCCACCTGGCAATACAGATGAAGGAGTAAAGTTACACTTTCCCCAAGTTTCCAAGGTGAAATGGGAACACTGGGTTCTGTGCTACCCCGACAAAACAAAACAAAACAAAAAAAAAATCTTTCCCACTTGCCAAATCTGATACCAAAAGTTACCCAGCTCTTGGAACTAAGCCTCTACACAAAGTGCATTATTGGGAATCTTAACAGAAAACCCATTATATTCACGCTGTTAGTAAAACTTCTGAAAAGTTCTTCACTTCAGAAAGAAAGCAAAAACCCTTCATTTTAATACTGACACCATGGAAATGAAGCACCAGCACAGTGCCTCACTGGGAAGAGGGCAGAGAACTAAAGACTCAAACATCTGTGCCTCCTGGAGACCACCAGACAGCCCAGCCACACACCACAGCACAGCGCTAAATCCCCCCAAAGCCTGCAATCCCAGATGGGAAGGTGGGTAATTAAACAACTGAGAGTTTAAAGGGTCTGCAGTTCTTGTAGTGTTTCCTGTACAAAGAGCCAAATTTTAAAAATGCATACCCTAATTACATGTCCCCACCGTGTCACCAGCTCCTGATACACAAACAAATCATAAAGGGATCAAAGTCACTTTTAATGCAGGCCAGGAATCCGGATGCAGTTCTCCTCAGTGGCTGCCCTCCTAGGTAATTTCAAATGCTCCTTTGTTGCCGTGGGGATTTTCTACGAACAAATCTTTGGTCTGTGTTGTTTTGGTGCTGGGGATTGAACCCAGGGCTTCTGGAAGGCTCTGTGCCTCTCTCCCACTGAGCTACAATAAAGAGAAAAACAATGGTTTTTGGAGCCTGGGGGGCTTGCTGGCAATGCAGTGGCAAAGGCCAGCATTTCTTAAGAGGGTTTGGGTTTTGTTTTTCACCATCTTTGTAATTTAAGAATCTCTCTCCTGATGCGTCCTTCCTGTATGCAGTCATATTCAAAGGAGTAAGTAGGAACAGAATTCCTGGATTTCTTAGCATCTGGAAATCAGCTTAAATCCTGGGGACCTTTCTGGGCCACTCTGTGCCCAGCAGCCTGCCACCCAGCAAGGAAAGGCAGCATAAACCCATTTCACAGACAGAAAGTGGGGCTCAGGAGACAGGGGCTGCTGAAACCCGGTAACAGGGGTGGATCACACCCCAGGAACCGCTTCCTGGCTCCACACGCCTGCTCCCTTCCTTCAGTAAGGCGCTATTTCTGTAAGGTTTCTCTTTCAGAAAAGGAAAGGGCCCTGTCACGTGACTTTCACTCACCAAAGCCCTGTGTTTTCATTAGCACCTCACAGTCTCTTCTGGCAGGGAGGGGAAAGGTGCGAATTCCTTCAGACTTCAAAGGCAACACTTCCAGGCCTGGGTCCTGATTTCACCTTTCTCTCTGAAGCCCTGCTCCTAACTCACCAGCTCTGACTCCAGGCTAGGAATGGGCGCCCTTTTACCAGATGGAATTTAAACTCAGAGATGCTTTCCGGGGCAATTCCTACCTAATCTGTGTTTTACAGACCCGTGAACCAACTTTAGAATAAAGGCAGAAAAACCAAAAGTAATTATTTTAGAGGAAATAAACCAATCTGTAATCCTAAGAAATAGGCCCACTGTAACCTGAGCTCAAAAAAACAGATGAAGTTGATTTTAAACAGCCGTTTTAAAACACAGTGAATTCAAGAGTCCCCAAACAACAAAGCCCTCACAGCCTGGGCGGATACTCAGGCGTGCACACAGGTCAGCAGCCTGCTGCCCAGGGCGCCCAGCTCTGAAACTGGCTCTCCAGCCCTACCCCCATTCTGGACTCCACTGTAAACAAGAGCCTAGCAGCAGGCCTGGGGCTCCAGGGCCCCTGACCACGTGTGCAAATGTACGCACGCTCTTCTCAGCCCTTCTCAGCCGCCCCAGTCACAGGCTTCCTCCTCACTAGAATGCTCCCTGATCACCCTTATGGAAGCCCAGACCACTTCTGAAAGCCTGGGCAGAGATGCAGGCCGCTAGGAAGTGGATTTTCTATTTCACCTTCAAAGAAAGGCTCCACAAGTCTGATTTCCATGAATCCCTCCCTCAAAGGACATTACCTACTGGGAACTTTCAATCTAGGAGCACCACAAACAGATTCCTACTTGCATGTGTGGGTCACGCAGGAGTGCACATCCACCCTGAGTCCCCGTGTTAGAGACGCAGCCCAGCGCACAGCCCAAATTAACATGGCACCTGCCACTCCTCTGCCTCCTCTCTGTCCTGTTCATTTACTGGAACTCCAACATGGTATGTCGTCTTTTTTTTTAAACATGTGGTTTTGGCACAGTTATCTATTTTTCTTTAAAATAGCCCTTTTCCTTTTTAGGAGGGTGTTTACCATAGTACCCACACACGCTTAGCAAAAATGGCAACCAAAAGACCCTTATCTTTGCTCAGCAACCCTGGACACACAAGCTGTGTGGATTTAGAATCTTTGTGAGTCCCACAGGCTGAAAGGAATTGTACCCTGGTAGGAAATCTTAGCACACATGCTCTAAATACAGTACATCAACAAACACCACCCCTGTGGTTCAGGATTCTCAAGTGTCTACAAGGGCATTTATCATAAGGACCCAGAAGGGAGCGGGAGGAAACCCACTCCCCGTCTACCCCCACCCTGCGGCTCCCCCCAGCCCTCCACAGACAGCAGCTGGGTGTCAGCTCTGCAGCTGTTTCTCTGACTGCAGTCACACATGGGGAAAAGGTAGCTCTTCCCACTAACACCTACTGTTCCAGAAGCCAACATGCCTGACAAGTAATGCCATCGGCTACATGACCCAAGCAAGGTCAACATCTTGACTGTGATGGACCCTAGGTATGAACGCCTAACCCATCCCACACACACCGCCCACAGCCCAAGACCCCAGGGCCAGCACACAGCAAGTCCCTCCGTGGGGGACACTCATCGGCTGCTCTCAACAGCCCTGGGTGTTTCTCTCTGGTTTTCTCCAAAGCCCCAACTGAACCCTGGTGCACAGGAGACCTCTGGCAACTCTGACAGTTCTGCTCCATGGACTCTGGCTGGTCCCTGACTGTCCTTCTCGGGTCTGCCTCAACCTCCCCAGGTGACTGTCACTTGGTGTCCTAAAGGCCTCCTTGCTGCACAGACACAGAGAGTCCACTAGCACGCGTCCAGGGGGTAGCAAGCCCTTCAGGTGACAGCCACAGCCACTGCACTCATTGAAGACAAATGCGGTGCTTTTGCCAGAAAAGCTCCCAAACTTACACCTCCCTGATGCACGGGTCCAACTCCCTCAGCCACCAGTGCCCATGCATACTTCCTCAAGGGCTCTGGAACAAGCCTGAGACGCCACAGGAAGTACCTGTGGCCCAGTTACTAGCACACGAGAGGGAGTGGCCGGTGGCTTCGGGTCCCCTCCCAGAAGCCCAACTACCCGAGTCCATGTTCTGCCACTTGCTTTGAGCACAAGACCCTAGAGAACTTCCACGCCTTGGCAAAGTCACAAGCATGCGGGATGGATGGGCCCGAGAGAGGCAGGGCGCACCGGCCAACTCTAAGGCCCTCCAACTCACTCCTCCAGAAAGACAGATACATGGTGTCCTACAGTGATGAGCTCAAACCACGCGCTGGTGCCTGCACCATGGCACCAAAGGGAGAGCTGCCCACCGCCCTCAACTCCAAGTCAAGCAGCCTCACCTTTCACGACCGTGGCCTCCTTCAGACGATGGGACAGGAAGTCGATGCTGGCATAGGTGTTGGCAGAGGGCAGGGCGCTAGGGCCCGGGCCCCCACATGCCCCACTGGTGCCACTGCCTCCCACAGTGCTAAGCAGGCCCCCGAGGCTCCGGGTCCGGCCCCAGGAGCTCCTGTCCCCTGGCTGTAGATGCTGCGTCTGCGCGGACAGCCCTGCTTCGTCCCGCACGCTGATGGCAATGTAGTTGAGGCCTTTCGGGAACCCCATGGAAGTTTCTCTGCGCATCGGGGAACTGCCACCCCCTGGACAGCCGACCAGGCCCCCAGGCTGACCAGTGCTCCACGGCCGTGACTGTGGTGGCGGGGGTGCGACTGACAGCTGTGAGTGTCCCGGGGACCTGAGTGGCTCCTCACCTGCCCCAAGACCCCCACCGAGGCTGCCAGCACCACTGCCCTCACTGCTTTTCCTGAGAGAGACATTTTCCACGGAGGCTGAGTTGTGACGCTTGGGGTTGTGGGCAAAAGATGGAGACACAGGGGTGACCGTGGTGGTGGAGGAAAAAGTCTCTGAGCTGTGGCGGCGGCGGCCCCCCTGCGGGTCTGCACGGATGACCTTGGCGCCCCGGTGGGGGTCAGGGGGCTGGCCAGCCTGGAGGAAGGCCTCAACGCCCGACACCTGATCCATGAGGCTCAGTCGCTTCAGGCCTGACGTGGGGCTGCTCACTCGGGCACCCTCCGGCTTCGGAGGGGCAGCGATCGGCTGTGGCGGGGTGGCTGCCACACCAAAGGCCATCTCGGTGTAATCACTGTTGTCGCCAGTGTCAGAGGATGGGGCAGTGCCAGGGCCCTGGGAAGTGACTACAGCATTCGGTGCGGTGGGCAGGCGGTACAGCTCTCCGGGGGGAGGCGGTGGTGGGGCCTGCTGTAGGGAAGAGGTCAGACAGGGCGAAGGGCGCGGGGGCAGCGGCGGGTATGGGGACGTGGCGTCAGGGGACTGGAGGGCATCCAGGGAGCCCACGGGGTCCCCGCTGTGGGCTCCTGGCTTGGGCGACTTGGGGGAGCTGAAGCCCAGGTTCATGTAGTCAGACAGCGGGGAGCGCTGTCTACTATCACTGCTGGTGCCCGGCGTACCGGAACCCAACGAAGATGCAGGGCTACTGGCAGACAGCAGCGAGGAGGACGAAGCAGCAGAGGCCAGCAGCGGTCGGGCTGGCGGTGACAACTGTCCACCTGCTTCCCCGAAGTCAATGTTGATGTACTCGCCGGGGCTCTTGGGCTCCGTGGGCACGGGGTACTCGTGCATGCTGGGCAGCGTCTGCAGCCCCTCTAGGGACAGTCGTGTGGGGCGCACTGCCCGGCAGCGCTGGCCCAAGAAGCCCTCAGGACGCCCACCGCCATTGCCCCCTGGCCTCATGGGGGAAGGCACTGCTGCTGGGTGATGAGGCTGCATGTGGCTGTCCCCACCAGTCCCAAAGGCGCTGCTCAATGCGGCAGCCACAGGGGCAGCTGAGGACTCCAGTCTCTCCTCCTCCAGGATGCGGCCCACGGGGGAGCTCATGAGCACGTACTGGCCGCCGTCCCCAGCGCCACACAGGTGGGGCGCCTTGTGGGAACGGGGCACCGAGCTGTAGCAGTAGCCAGGAACTCCCTTGGGCCCCTCACCGCCACCTTGCAGGGCCGCAGAGAAAAAGTCTGGCGGGGTGCTGGCTGGGCCTGTCTCGCTGGGGGACATGTTGAGGTAGTCCCCGTTGGCCAGCAGCTTAGGGTCTGTGCTCTCCACACACAGCTTGGCGCCACACCACATGCGCATGTACCCGCTGTCCTCAGGCGAGCTCTCAGCGGGTGAGCCGGCCTTGTAGACGCCCCCAGTCCCTGGGAAAGCCCTCACAGCCGGAGAGGGGGCAGCTGGCACCGCTGTCCCCGAGGGGGGCAAGGCTACCGCCGGGGCAACCCTGGGCTGCAGGATCTGCTTCGGGGCAGATACGCTGGTGGGGCTCATGGGCACATAGTCCTCACTACCTCCGCCCAGCAGGGCCGCGCCTGGGGTCATAGGCATGTAGCCGTCGTCCGTCCCCAAGTTGCTGCTGGAACTGCGGTGGGAGCCGATCTCGATGTCCCCGTAGTCTTCTGGATAGGGATGGTAGGCCACTTTGGGGGAGGACGCGGGGAAAGGTGGACACAGGCGGCCCGAGCTACCGGAGAAGGTGGCCCGCATGAGCGTGTACTCATCTAGTGAGGCCGACGACGGCTGCGGCACGGGGCGCTGGCGCGCAGGCGTGGTCAGCGAGTAGGTCCGCTTTCGGAGCCCCCTGTCCAAGTCCTGCGCTGCGTCCCCGGAGACCCTGCGGTAAGCGCGGCCACAGGGGCCCAGGGGCCTGTCCATGCTCATGTACCCATACAGCTCGGCTGCGCTGCCATCCCGCGCCGGGGGCGTCTCCGCGATGGACTCCGGCGTGTTGCTGCGGTGGCTGCTGCAGAAGGCTCTCAGATCACCTGGGCTGGACCCATATTCATCCAAGGACATGAAGCCAGGGTCGCTTGGGGAGCCCGAGGCCGAGGCGCTGCCGCTGGAGGGCCGCTGGCCCGGCGGATGGTGCAGTGGGTGTGGCAGCGGCACGGTTGGGCCAGGGGGAAGCGGGTAGGACCCTGAGCCGTGGCCACTGCTAGATGACAGGCTGCCAGGGCTGGTGGCGGCAGGAGGCGAGTGCGCCACCGGCATAGACATGGAGCGGCTGTGCTGTAGCGCGCCCCCTGCCGGCGCCAAGGCCACCTTGCCGGCGCGGACCCCGCAGCCGGCGCTCAGCGTGTGCGAGCGGCTTAGGGGTGCTCGTGCCGGCCCCGGGCTAAGGGGGCTCCCAGCCACCGACCCCGGCCGCCCACCCGGTGCCGCCGCCGCTGCCGCCCCGGCCCCGGTCCCAGCCCCGCCGTCGCCCTCGCTGGCCGTGCGCACGCGGCACTGGGCGCCCTTGGCGGCGGGCGGGGTGGCAGCCAGGCTGTCCGTGCGCGAGCGGCGCACTAGGCCAGTCTGACTCGGGGGCAGGTGCACCAGGTGGTGGTGGCGCCGTGCGCCGGGCACGCTGATGGGGTGCGTGGCTGACGAACCGGACGACTGGCTCTTGCTGCGCGGACGGAACTCGAAGAGCTCTTTGAGCGCCTTCATGGCCTCCAGGATGGTCTCATGGATGTTCTGCGCCACCACCGAGTCGTCAGCCTGCATCCACAGCTCGCCGGGGCCCGTGACGGCCGAGCGGCCCACCTCGATAAAGAAGAAGCTGTCCGAGTGACCGCAGCGCCGGATGTTCATGAGCTGCAGCGTCACGGACGGCTGCTCGCAGTTGAGCTTCACGAAGCCGATGGTGCGCGCCGACAGGCACAGGCGGTACACGCCCGTCAGGTTCTTGCTCTGGCCCAGGCCCTTGGGTTTCAGGTTCACCTGCCACACCTCGCGGTAGGCAGTGGGCGAGGACGCCCCCAGCCCGTCGCCGTCCTCGGCCGAGCCGCCCAGAGCCCCGGGAAGGGGCGCACTGCAGGGCGCGGCAGCGGGAGCCGTGGCCACAGGGGGCGCGTCGCGGGCGGCGGCCGCGCGGCCCTCGCGGAGCAGGTCGGTGAGCGCGCGGTACCAACCCTCCTGCTCCTGCTCGTTCTCGGCTGCCACAGCAAAATACTCGTCCTTGGTGTAGAGGGCGATCAGGTACTTGTGCTTAGCGTCAGCGCGTTTGTTGACGTTCAGGCAGCAGTCGAGCGCGATCACCCGCTTCGGCGCGCCCGCCTTGCTCCGCCACTTCTTCTCGCTCTCGTAGTACTCGAGGCGCGGGGGCTGCGGCGGCGCCGCCGACCCCCCGCCCGCGCCCGCGTCCTCGCCGGCCGCGCCGGGCCCGCGCAGCACGAAGAAGCGCTTGTGGCCGTGCTTTTGCTTGCGCAGGTAGCCGCACTTGCGCACGCCGTGGTTGTTGTTGTTGTTGTTGTTGTTGTTGTTGAGGTTGGAGCCGTCCCCGCCCGCCGGCCCAGGGGCCCCTTGCCGCGGCGGGCTCGCCATCGCGGGCGCTGCTGCTGCTGCTGCTGCTACTGCCGCCGCCGCCGCCGCCACCGCCGGCCGGGGACGCGGCGCGGCCGGGGAGGGCGGCGGGGCGCGGGCGGGGGCGGCTCCGGACCCCTGGTCGCCCTGCCGGCCGCCCGCCCGCGCTCGCGTCTGCAGGTCCCGGGAGGCGAGGAAGGTCCGCGGAGGAGGCGGCCGGCCCAGCCCGGCCCTGCCCGGCTCAGCTCGGCGGCGCAGCGCCCCGCGGTCCCGAGGATGCCCGGCGCGCGCGTGGCCGCCTGCGGCCGGGCTGTCGCTATCACCGCCGCCGCCTACGGGGTCTCGGGCGGCGCCGCGGGCTCGAGGAAGGCGCGGAGAGTCGGGGTCCCCGATCCGCGCGCGGGGCCGAGCCTAGGGCGCGCGCGGCCGCACGGATGGGGCCGCCGCAGCCGCGCTACGCTTCGTGAAGCCGGGGTGCGTCCGGGCGCCGGGGGTCTGCGCCACCAACGCCAACGCCAGGGCTCCTGCAGCTGCCGCCGCCAACGGCGACCCGGCCTCGTCGCGGTCCCCGCCGCACAGTGAGTAACACATCGCGCACCGAGTGACTGAACTAAGAGGAGCAAAACAACATGTGACTCGGCGTTACGCAGGCACACACGGCTCGGACGCCCCGCCCCACCGCGCGCATTGGCGCCGCGCCCCCCGACGGACGGCGCGCGCGACCAATGGGGAGCGGGATTGGGGGCGGGGACCGCGTCCCGCCTCGCCTCCCTTTCTCCGGGCTGCGTTTCCCGCCGTCCCCGCCCCGCCCGCCCCGCCCTCCTCTGCCCTCCCCCCATCCACTCCCCCGCGCGCGGGCGGAGGCGGAGGCGGGGGCGGGGCGGGCCCGCGCCTTGTTTACGGGCGTCGCGGCCCCGCGCTCGCGCCCCGAGCCTTTCCGGGAGGAGGCGGAGGCCGCGGGCCCTTTCCGGGGCGTCACCGGCGCCTTCTTCGTCGGGACCCGGGAAGCGGGGTGGGCCGGGCTGAAACCCGAGACGTGCGGCGCGGGCGTTGCCATGGCGCCGGGAGGGGCGGCGCGGCCGGCCGTGGGAGTTGCGAGCCGAGGGAGCGTGGGGCCCGGCTGCGGCCTCGCGGGCGGCGGTCAGGCCGCGTGGCGGCAGGGATGAGGTGCGGATCGCGGGCTGAGAGTCGCGGCGCAGACCCGGTCCGGCCACCCACGCGCTGCCTGGCGCAGCAGGGGCCGCTGCGCGGGCGCGGCGAAAGGCGGGGGTCGCCCGCGTCCCGGCCCCACCTTCCGAACCAGCGGCCCGGCGCCGCGGTTGGGGCGCGCGCCGCGCGTGTGAACGCGTGTGCGCGCGGGCCGGGGCGCTGCCTTTATGGATGTTGGGCATCTTTTAGGTTTTTGTTGTGGTTTTGTGTGGACATACAGTGCCCATTTGTGTGTCCCCTCTAGAAAAAACAAAGGGGGACCCTTTTCTGGGAGCTCGGGGAGGAGTGGCCGATGTTACGGGCTTTGTGATCACCGACACGCGCTCTCCGAGGGTGCAGACAGCGTGTACATATGTGTGCATGTGTGTTCTTGCGTGTGTGTGTGTGTGCATGTGTGCGCCACGACCCTGCATCCAAGCGGGGGTACGGCCGCGCCCGCCGGCGTCATGTGACGATTTCTTTCACGACCCGGTCCTGTTCGGATTTTGTCTCATTGCAGGTTTAGGCTTCCGGAGGATCCGCCTGCGTCCTGGCTGCTCTCAGGACTTCTGGACGGCTCTGAGGCCCAGTGGACACAGGTCCCTAACGGGGTTAGGGGTTAGGCTCCCTAACGCGAGGGAGAAGGAGGTGGCACGCACCAGAAAGAGTCTGTACTCCTGCACATCTCTAGGTGTAAGCGGGACAGGGGTAGGTTCAGCTCTCAGTGGACTTAAGCCTGGGGGACCCCCAGTAAGAAACTCGAGTACAAGTACCCCATCTTCCTCCTTGCCCGTCCTAGGGGCTTTTTTTCCCCCTTCTTTCTATTGCAGAATAAGCGATGTGTATAGTGAAAGATTGCCCTGCACCTTCTGGATTTCCAAGTGTTCTCCCTCCTTCTTGGGTAAAAGTCAGCTGAGCACATCCACCCGTGTGCCGGGCACCAGCACTGGGCACTGCGTACCTGGACTGGAGCCAGCGCAGCCTGAATGCGTTGTTTCGTTGTGTTGCGTTGTATGTTTCTCCCCTGAATCCCCCAGATTCAGTGTTTTTCCTTGGAAACTGGCTTTCCTTTCAAGGGTAGTGAAAGGGCCATATCTTTTAGCAAGAAGATTGGGGGAGGTTGTGTTAACGTAGAATCAGATAAAATAATGATACTTTTCTTAACCTTTTCTGGTATAATTTATCATAAAGCAGTCGATTTTTATAAAACCTTTAAGTGTGCTATAAATCCACAATACAAATATTGCTGCTAATAATAACCAGCACGGCTCATTGTCTTTTGTTTTGTAGGAGAGGCAGTATATAGGGAAGGAAAACTAGCGGTGTACGAGAGTGTTTGTTTTTCTTTTTATTTCTTCGCCGTTGATGTTTGACAGCATTTTGTGTCTAGGTGAATTCAGTCTCAAAAGTGACTAAGCATATTGCTCAGTGGAATGGTTCTCACTGGAAATGTATTTTAGTAGCTACAGATTTTAACTTCCCAGGTTTGTATTAGAGGCTATAGTTAATCTTTAAAGCGAAGAGTATTTAATGTTTCCATTTCTTTCTGATACATGACTTTTGCTCTTCTAGGTTTCACTAGGAGGCTGACTGCACTTCACCTTCTAGTTTTTTTGTGTACATCTATTTGCTAATATGTTTCAACTGAAATTGTGCAAGAATTTTGTAACATGCTAAGCCTGTGTATTTGCAACAGAATGATTTATATGCAATAATGTAACTGCTGTTTGGATGTTTACTAACTACCAGTGGCCTTGCAAACATTTAAAGAATCAGAATTTTTCAATGGATTATATCAGTCCTTGGGAAAGTGTAAGGGCTTTCCACTTTAGTATTTACCCTGCTCATATAAGCATATTGATTAAATAGTCTCTTTCCAGAACTCTCATTTGGAGAGAAATTTTATATAGTGTACAAATACAGCAAATCAGGGGGCTGGAGATTTAGCTCTGCGGCATAAGTGCCTGCCTTGGAAGCAGGCAGTCGTGAGTTCGATCCCTGGTACCGGTAAAAACGAAAAAGACCAAAAAAAAAAAAGAAAGAAAGAAAAAGAAAACAAATACAGCAGATCAAACTACCATAGCATAAGAATTCTTCTGGAAATATAGGAATTACATTAATACGGTTTAGAAAAATATGTAGTCAGTACAAATGCAGCCTATGTCACACCCCAAGCACTTTCATTTAAATATAATCGTTCAATTAACAGGTAACTGCAGTTAAAATTGTTACTAACACATTCTGGATTTTGTTGTTTAAATTTAGAGAATGTACTGCTAGATGTCTTTTTTTTAAACTTTTTGCTAATAAGACTTTCCATGGTTGAATAAAGCAGTACCCTGTAGGGCTGGATTGTAGCACACACCTGCATGTATGGGGTCCTGGATTTGATCCTCAGCACTGCCAAAAAAGTAAAATAAAATGACCCATCCATTAGTAAGTCCTGTGCGCAGGGCACCTGGTCCTAGCAACGCCCACACCCGCTTCTGCAGGACTGGCTCTGTGTGCTGTTTGCTGTTGAGATCCCAGCCTGCCGGGCTACAGCATTGTTTTGTTTTGTTTTGTTTTGTTTTTCTGCCAGAGCAGAGCAGAACAGAATTGTCTACTTCTGTCTGCACGTCCTGAGCAGACAATATTAAGATGGCATAGCTGTATTTCTGGGGGCCGAGGCAGCTGGGAGTGACCTTGCGCCAAGTACACAGGTCACACACAGGAGGGGGACAGTCAGCCTGCGTGCGTTGACCCCACTGTTGATTCTAGGTGCAAGTTCTTTCCCTGATTTTGAAAATCGCTCAAGTTAGGAGGAGGACTGGAACCACCCTCGTCCCTCCTGCTGTTTGCAGAACCGGCTGTCAGAAGCCGGCCCCTCCTCTGCAGCGGGGTACAGCGCCTCCCAGCCCTGCCTTCTCTGAATTCTACAGTTGTTTTGAAATTCAACGCAAAGATAACAGAGGAAGTGTGACCCGCCGGTGTGTGCTGCCCCCCGCTGGCCACGGGCTCTGGTATCGCTGCCAGCCACTTGGCACGCTTGAGTTTGGTGGTTCTTGAAGGAAGTTGACAGAAATGGTTTGAATAAAGAAATTGCAGCTAAGAGCAGTGTCCGGTGGCAGATGAGAAGTGGTTAAGAGTCCTAAATGGAGAAGCCTTAGCACTGGATAGTTATCAAGATCATTCTCCATCTTCTGTCACATTTTCTATCCCAGTTTGCATATTTACAGTAAAAACTATTAAATTGCAAAAATATATCAATGTCCATTAAACTAAGTTTTAGAAAACTACCCGACAGAATAGGGGAGAAAAAAACCACCAATTTAAACCCAGAGTTATTTTGATACATTTACTAGAGCTGCAGTCAGGGTTTCCCTCTGGCTACTGTATTTCTCCCTTGAGCTGGCCCTGTGTCTTGCAGACTTTCTAGAAAAAGCCAAGAGTCACCTCAAAAGATATTAAAAGGAAAAATCAGAAAAAATATGGATGGGAAAGAAAACATATTCTAAAAGCTACAAATAACATCCTAAAAAACCTACCAATTAAACCTGGCAGTTGATGTGTCTGGTGTGGTTTTTTTCACCGAGTAAAATCATTTGAACTCACGAGTGTGTCCTTGTGCCAGGACGTCTCCTCCTCGGCTGGCCTGGCCTGAGTTGGGCCATGCCAGGGAAGATGGCACTGGCAAATGTGTTTGAACAGAGCCGTTTTGCAAACAGAGAAGGGGCCCAGGGGCTCCGAAGATCTGCCAACCATGGCTGTGGACACCTTTATGGGTGAAAGCATAGAGCTGGTCAAAAATATCAGTGGTTATGACTTGTGCAAGTAGTTCACACTACAATGGTTGATTCCTAGCAATGTGTGGGATCAGTAAATAAATCATAATATGGATAGTGTCCGTATGTGATCAGACTGTAATGGGATTGAGCTGAAGTCCTGTGGGGGTGGTGTCTGTCTGTCCAGGGAGTCCACATGTCTGTCCAGTGTTACAAGGAACAACAACAGTTAGCCAAGCCAGCCATAGAAGTATTGCCCTTTGGCCTGGTTTCTGACATTCATAATGGAAATGTTATTAACTAAAGTAACTTGGGGGAATAAGCATTAGTGAGGTTCCTTGGAAGTAAACAAAGCAACAATTTGCCAAATTTCAGCAGATGCTGCTCCACTGTTCCCGCCCTACTTGCTCTGCTGAGCGGAGATTTCGGTTCAGATAAACCCATTCTAAGAATTAGGTCTGAGGTAAACACCAGCAGGCCTGCTAATGCCTGCAGGCTCCTCAGGAAAGGCTCCCATGCCCACCTAGCATCTTCCAGTTGAAAAAGAAAAAGTAATTAGGTACTGAAAATATCTTGAAACTGTGTTTTATACTGTAAGAACCCCTTTTAAGTTTGTAAAAATAAGCATTAAAAAACCATGGTTCCTGCTGCTATTAAAAACACAGAAAATGAGCCATACTGATGTTCTGATGCTACGTATTTTTCCATTTTTATTTGCAGGAAG